TGGTTACGTGTTTGGGATATACGTGTACCATCTTTGAATCATATTAGTTGTAATAATATTAGTAGTAGTGGTAGTAATAATAGTTGTAGTAGCAATGATAAGTAAGTTAATTATATTTTAATTATTTTGTTTTTTTTTACAAACAATAATTCTAAATCTTAAATCAGAGTTCAGCTCCTTAGATTGATAGATCTTATAGTAGTATATGTCATTGAAAGGTATAGTAAAAAAGGTGCAGTCAGTCAGTCAGCTGCAACGTAGGACCAGGCACATATATGCTTCGGTCCAAGTTGCCATACAGCATTAGCACAACAAGATGAACACCGGATTCATAGAAGTAGTTAATTCAGTGGTGGTAATATATAGAAGAAAGATTGTATATAAGGAGAAAGTACAGGAAGAAAGAATTAGTTGGTAGAAAGAAAGATATGAAGCGATTTTAGTCTCTTAGTTTAAGGGAAGACAGTGTATACACCGACGCTCAAAATCGTTTGCAATGGCGCAGGTGCATCCACTCTTTGTGTTCTCTCAAACTCTAATCTTCTGAATTCTTCATGTCCTTTATTTTCTTTCCAAATTTATTCCACTGGACTATACTCCTTAAATAACGTCATCAAACCTTAATGTTCCCTATCTCTACTTATACTTTCATTACCCCTACCACTATGGGATTTGAATCGATAACTGAATCTCTGTGCTAATGTGGTATGGCAACTCGAACTGATGTACGTACGTACGAGGTTCCACGTTGTTACTGACTGACACCGACGCCATTGTGATCGATTGTGAGCCATGTCACCAAGAGTCTTCAAGCATTGGTTACGATAGTCACGCGGACCCCAACTAAGTAGTTTGCATCTACCACCAACATGGCTCAGACCAGGAAGTTAGTGCTTCAAGCACTGATGCCACATTTTGGTTGGGACGCCCCTAACTTTCTTCCAATTATCCCTAACACCGGTTAGCATTGCGCATCGTGGTAATCGATGTTCAGGCATACGCATAAATAAGGTGCATTAACTTTTTACAAGCTCTTTACTTGAATTTGAAAGAACTATGGTTGGAATCGATAACTTCAGTTGGTATTCTTCAGAGTTGTTCACTTTTCCCGTTTCATTTAGTTTTGTCATAAACATTTTTTTAAAAGATAACGATCTCATCGTCTGAGTTTTCAGGGTTTGATCTTCTAATTGGAGGTTCTTTTGCTTACTTCAATAATAATATTGTTCCATTTGGTGACAATTTTGTCGTCATTCTTTAATGCTATTATTCTCTATGCTCAAAAACTTTACGTGATTGAATGTAGTCATGATAAAGGTACCCACCGAAAACTCTCATCTACCTCAGACAGCAAATGAGAATTGCACGATATTATGTGATAATTGGTTTTAGACATTGATACCTTTGAACGTCTTCTCAGTGGTCTAGAGGTTAACCAGTCAGTTAATCAGTTCACTCGCAACATAGAACCTGATACGTATGTAAATCGGTTAACGTTGCCATACACAATTAGCGGAGTGATCGAGTCGTCTAGCTAAATCTCATAATATTACAGGATTGATGTCATGTTTCCGTTTTACCCACTAGTATCCTTCCAGACTACTGTAACACCAGACACCATCTCTATTCTACAAGGGAAGAGAGTTAACCGCCCGTACACAAAACCGAAGATTTTGAGTTCGACTCTTAGACGAAAGGTCTTGTGTATCTACTCCATACTATTTAAACGAAATTGTCACATAGTTCATAATTTCAATGAAACTCAGCAACTCTGTACTGTTTTAATCGAATATTCTTCACTAACTGATAATGATTTCCTTGAATAATAATATTTTACTATTGAGATCATGAATCTACTGATGTTAGACCACCGTTGGAAACCTGGAAGCACTGGACGGCCGTTTCGAAAATATTTATCATATTTGGAAATGCAATTGTTATATGTTCTATAATTTCATTATCTCGTATTTTTATTCTTCTCTAGTCTTATTTTCAACAGTCAAGCTGATACTGCTAGAATTTTCAAAGTTGTCTTTTCATCAACTAATCGATTATATGCTGTTGGTGCTATGGGTGGAATTGGTGCTTGGCAATTATCATTTCCAACTGAGAATAATAACATTACTCCTACAACAATTACTTCAAATACTTCACTTCCATCAAATTCATTGAATTCTAATAATAATGACAACAGTACTCGTAACGATCATATCAATTTATCAAATCATCCACGTAGATATATATCCACAGTGGTAAGATCATCGACAAATAATCCTATTAATAATTCTTCAACAACTCGGCGATTTCGACGTTTACCTTGTCCACCACGTTTATCATTACCAATGAATTCATCGGTTAATTGTGCTGATTTATTGGTAAGTTGTTTGAAAATCATTAATATTTGAGTGAGCCTTTTTCTTACCTAACTCTTGAAGGTTCCACTATAATCAGAAAAGACAAAGCACGTGATTCACTGTTAGCTGATGTATGATTTGGTTAAAATTGTACGTGCAGAAATGCATCAGTGCATGAAGTCATACACTATTCATAGTGAATAATGGTGATATATTTGGGAGATGTTATTAAGAAGTCACTTGAATTTCATGATTATAGTGCAAACAATTTCTTCAGAGTTAATAAATGATTGTCGGAGTCTTTGAATGATATTGTTCAGAATGAGTTAGAATGACGCAAATGTATTCGCTCGTTTGTTTTCCTTTAGATCTTAAGTTTTAATATTGTCTCACAGTTCTATTTATACTGAGAATTCCTTCATTCCTACAAACGCCCTCGTACGGTCGAGAGCAGGGGAAGTTCATTCTCCCTCTACAAATGCTCTCGCATAGTCATATGTATGCAACCACTGTCAGGGAAGTCCTACACCTGAACCTGGGTGTTGTTTACAAAATTCACAGCACGAAAAGAGAACATCTGTTACTGTAACCGGGTAAGTAGTCACGGAAAATTCATCTTAGGGGAGTTGGAAAACCATAGTTCCAAACTGATGTTGCATATGGGCTCCAAGATATTGCGGGAATAAATGGCGTATAAACTTATCGTTAATCACTGGCTACCATGGGACTGCATCTCTTAACATTGTTTTACTGTTCTATGGATTACAGCTTTAGATCACTGACTGGTTGAAAACTAATTGTTTTAATTATCATTTAAACATCACTCTACTTGAAAATAACACACTAATGTTTTCAACCCTGTCACCCTAATAATTTACTTACTGTCAATCATGCTTCATTATAAGCTTCACACTACAGAATGAATTTTGAAGCATATGATAACGATTTCTCGACCATATCAGGGCATTTGGGTCTGTAATAATAAATACGTAGATCTTTTTGCCGAATTTCCAAACTTCATTTTATTATACATATGTATGTATTATTACTTTGTTTTACTTAGGTTAATCTATCATCACCGCATGCACATCTTGCATTGGCTGGAATTCGTGGTCAATCAAGTATTTCATTACATCGTATTCAAGATGGTAGTTTACATTCTTCTATCAAAAATTTTAATATTACTAACAATAATAATTTTAGTCGTGAACAATTTGGAACTCCCACTTGTTGCGCTTTTCATCCAAACGAGGTTTGTATTTGTGTTGATGTGATGCTTATTTCCTTATGTTTATTTATGATATATTTATTGTTATTATGTTTATGAAGTTAATGTACTTCAGGGTTTTGATTATGAAAACAAAGTGATCTCTAGTGGAGTGATTGATGCATATAACACTGTTCACTTCCCGGTTAGCCATATTGTGAAGTGATACTGTTCTATGAGGTATGAGGGTTAGAACTGGATTAGAAGTGATCTTAGCGACCTACTGTGCTACTGTGTAGTCGAGAGGACAACTGTCAGCTGCATGTCGCACATGGTTTTATTGCGAGTAGATCTTGATCTCTTATCTATCTACTTTTAATGTCTCAGTACTTGAATTAGAAATCTCTAGAGTAAGAAAAGTGTGCTGCTCTTAGCATCTAACTTGAGTGACCATAACTCTAAACTTTATCATCTCTGTATATGATACTTCTCTGAAGGAAATATCAGCGCTGTCACATCTCATTACAGTTAACAGTACGGCCTCACTCTTAAATCTCACTTTACTGATCTCACCATTTTCTAACCAACCTGCTTCTTATGCTAATATCTTAAGTAAAAAGTGTTCCACTCAATATAGCTTAATGCGCGATTTCACCTATTACATCAGAATTGCCGATTAGGATCGGAAGATTTTCTATGTAATTGATCTAAACTGATGTCAATAACTAGATACCTCCAGCGCTTATGACAGCCGATTTACCAAACACCCCTTCATAGAAGAACTATCCCTTCATACGGTTGTACACTTTCTCAATATAATTAGTTAAAATCAAAGAGATCTTTAACGTGTCTTTCAGAATTTCAACATTTAGTTCCTATCTTTCAGTTAATGTCTGAATCAAAACTAAAAAATTGATGTTGTAGACAGTCCTTATTGGAAAGCATCAGTTAAACATGCTCCTAATCTGGGTATTTCGAACCATTCTAGTATAGGAAACGATAACAGAGACAAGCACAACTAAATGTATTGAAACACAAAATTACAGAATCTTAGTAAAATCTGTAAACCATACAATAAACACTTCGTTTGAAAAATGTCAATGAATTGTTTCAGACTTGATTGTTACTTCCATTCTATATCAATCACTTTCTGTTGTCGTTCTCTTCTCTTCAATCTTCTTAACTTTCTGCCACCAGGTCTTTGACGTTCGACTGATGATATATACTACTACTATCTGTCGAGATCATCAGCACACACCACACTTGTGCATGTGATTGATTCTAGTTGTAGACTCCTTGAAAGTCAATATATAAGATAATATTTTCTGTATAGTCGTCGAATCACTTCAGTTTCACTCACTGACTCTTTCTACGAAACCATTTAATGAATTTCAAACCTATTCAGAAATGAGGTCAAAGGTCATTTATAAATTGGAGTCTTGCCAGAAATATCTACACATTCGTATTACATGTCTTTGTGGTGATATTTAGATTTTATCAATTATATCACGAATGATACTTTCGGCATATATTAAAAGCCTTGATAACATTGGAAAACTGTTTGTGACTACTGAATAGTCGTCCCTATCCACCATTAAATGTTGATTTAATTATCTTAGAGCCTACTGAAGTGTCTTGTGTTAGGACAAAACATCTGTCTAGTACTCAACTAGTTCAATAGTTATGATCATGAGTCAATTGAAGCTAGATCACCATGAAGAACCTGGAACCACTGGATGGCCATTTCGTCCTATTGTTGGACTCCTCAGCAGTGCGCATCCACGACCCCGTCTCGTGGGATTCGAACCCAGGAACTATCAGTCTCACGCCAGGCGTGCTTAACTAACTAGACTATTGTTAGTTCATGTGTAATGTTAAATTCCAATAATGTTCATATTTCCATTATGTTCTGTTGTTGTTTTTATGTTTATTTGTTACATAACCAGCCATTAATTGCAGCCGGTTTCCATGATCAATCACTTGTTCTTTTAAATGTTCAAAATAAATCTATAAACAAAGAAGTATAAAACCAATTAAAGAATATTTTATCACACTCACATACAAACACACACACATTTTGTACATGATTATTTCTCTCTTCATTCTTTGCTGACTATATCAATTATGTTTATTGTTTATCTGTATGTTTGTTTATCACATAATGAACAATAATAGATCATAGTTAAATTGGTTTTAATTCAACACAGAGATGAAGAGAACAAATACTTATCGGTGTTTCTTTACTTATCATTGTGCATATCCCTGTGATCATCATCATCATTGTTATTATTTTTCGTTTCTCATCTATATGAACTGATTGGATGAATGAATACTCTTCATTGTTTGAGAATCCACACACACACACACACATACACATACACAGATAATAGCTTATTGTTTCAACATTGTCCATGATTATTTTAACTTGTAATTATTCTTTACAATGTTCTCTATGTTAGTACATTATGAACAAATAGCTTTTTTGTTAGGGGGGGTGGTGGTTGTTGATGTTGTTGTTGTTGTTGTTGTGGTGGTGGTGGTGTTGATGTTGGGGTTAGGGTTTCCATTTATCTAATAGATTTATCTAATAATATATAAAACGATCATTATTTCACATTGTAATTTACAGTTTATTCATATATATAATTTTTCTTTATTCTGTAATAATTTAAGATACTATTACTATAGTTGTAAAGTTTTTGTAGATAGATTTATAAAATTGAACTCACATATATGGAAATGCCTTGGAAAAATACTGTTTTACTATTATCATTTTTATTCATAAGTTAAAAGCAAAAATTATGATCAAATTATCTTGATGTATCATTTAAAGTAATGTCATGTTTCATAATATTCTATTCAATTGACTATAATCGTGATGTTAAAAGTGTATGTGTGTGTGTGTGTGTTTGTTTAATTGTATGTATCATATATGAACATGTATAAACATAAGTGTACTTTTTTTTTAGTTATACCCGGTCTTCCTGACGATATTTCCTCTATATATTTGAGGATGTTTTATTATTCAACTATTGCGTTCATATACAATGAGAGTATATATATATATATATATATATATATAAATTATTTATGTTAAACGGTTTTTGTTTACACATTAAGCCAACTTGGGAATTATTATTATTATTTTATTTTATTTTACACATAAGTATAGGTACAGGGAGGCACCAAATACATATGCGCCACACAAATCTCAATTGATTTGTGTGAGGGCTGTGATACTGCTCGGGTGCCCAAACCGAAGCAGATGGTTTTCTTAGGGGGCCACACCCCGAGCCTTTGACCTGAACGTCTGACCCACAAGGCAGTGGAGCATCGTGAGGAGATGCAGTCCCATGGTAGCCGGTGACCAACGATTGGTTCATACGCCATTTGTTCCCACAGGATACTGGAGCCCATGTGCACCATTGATTTGGGGTCCGGTTAAAGCGCCAGACATTCGCTTTTCGTCCTCCCATTTTTGTAAACAACACCCCCGCCACGAGAAGGCAGTGAGTAGGACTTCTCTGGCAGAGGCTATATACGCGTGGCCATGTGAGAGCATTTCGAGAGGGAGAGCGAACTCTCCCCACTCTCGGCCGTACCAGGGCATTTGGGGGCCAACTTGGGAATGTTTTATGTGGACATGACATTTCTAACTTGATATTATTGTTTTGTTTAACTGGGTTTAGGAAAGTGTATATGAATTGACGTGCGATTTTCAAGAGTCGATATTGATGTTGTTTCTGACCAGATAGGTGTTATATCTAGAGCTTAGATTTTTAATAAACCGCATATGTTTAAAAACACTGCAGGGTACTTCTTAACCAATATTTAACTTCCCAACAGATGTAATGTGTGCCATTCGTGTTGTTGAATGAACTATGTGTCTCAATATATCAGATGCTGTATAAAGTTTCACTCGAGTAAACTTTCTATTAATATCAAAGCTTACATATTTTCTTAGGCGGTAAATTTATGAGCAGTTATTTCAAACAAACATTTTGTTAACAAATGCTCCAGATCTGTATATCTTAACTTAAATCTTCTGGTAACGGCAAACGGTACTCATGAGCTTCAAGTTCTTCCTTTAAACCAGTGTAATAATTTACGCATAGCAGGATACTTCCATTAGGCATTCTAGCAATCACTATTGATGCTGCTCAGAGAAAATCACCGGTTCTACGATTGCACTTTATTTCAAGCGTTCTAATTCTTGTGCAACAATAGGTAGCGCTGCAAAAGGTACAGGTGTTTATTTTCGAAAAACGAGAGTAGCCCCATGTTTGAGAGTTAACAAGACTTTGGCCTTCGTACATTCTCCCAATCCTTCTTCAAACACGTTGTGGTGTCTTTGTAGTACGGCATTTTTCTGGTTCCACTCTAAGGGGTTGTTTCAAGTTTACCAATCTCTGGCACTCGGTGGTTACTTCTTGTAGTGTTATATTCGGGCGTTGTCCAATTTTACTCAAAATTCTGGTTCTATTATCAGCATCTTCAGAGATTAGAGGCTGCACACAGACACGAGACACTTAAGCTGATCTTCTGTCATTGTTGATAGTTTGAACTGCTCACAATCATGGTTTACTTAACCCGTATGCTTCACCCAGTCATTATCACGTGCTTTTATTATCTGGAGACACTGATAACGAATATTAAACAAGGATGACTGTTGAGCAGAGATTTGTGACAAATGTCAATCGTCGCATCGAAAGAAAAATCTGTTTTATTATTTGGAAAGATGAAGTTACTGTACCGTTCATGTTCAACTGTACCAAGTTTTCTTAAAAGCATTCTGACCACGACGGTGTCACCAAGTTTTCCGAGGTCAACCTTGTACAACTTTTCGTATTTCTTGAACCAGGTTTCAAAAGTAATGCCAGCCAAACCATCGAAATTAAACTCATGAATAGAACTAACAATGTGGCCGACATGAGATTTGAGATCATCTGTAAGCCACTTTCGATTTAGGTTCATCTGCTGGATTAGAGTCTCTAGAATACGAATCTGGAACTGTTCAAAGCGTTTTTTTTAATGCTTCAGCCAGGTTTTAAATTGGTCAAAGATAAAAGACATCTTGATAAGTTAACTCCGTCGCCAGTTGTTATATCCAGGGATTAGATCAATAATATGGCGCGTAAAACTTGAGCACTTTAATGCTAAAATCCTCCGAAGTCGCGAATGAGAAGACAAGTGAGAGTAATTTTATTCCAAACAGTATGAATTATGGTACAAAATTGTTGGGTATTTATAGTTTTTAGTAAAAACGAAACCATCATTATAGTTATTCAATCCATACACAGGGAGTTACTAGTATTTTTTCAATAGGGTAGCCACAATAATATGTTCTTTAATGTCCTTTTAGATGTTCTTTTACTTTTTTTTGTCTTCTTCGCGTTCAGCCGTTTTCCGTTTGTGAATAATATGGCTAACCCACAAATAAACAGTGTTCATTACTATATCATGTATTGTTTTTTTGGCAAGTTTGATCGCAAGTGCTTTTGGCGCAGCATGAGGATTCTTGAGGTGTTGTCCACTCTCGATTGGACCATAATTTGTGAAACATCATTGAATGATCCTTAAGTGACCATGTAATCCTTCATTTGATTGTTGTGTTTAAAAGAGCCGTATATTGATTTAGAACTATGGCTTAGGTTGGGCAATTAGAATTTAGTTTTTCACAATTAGCTGAAATCGTGTATAATGCCCAAATGCTATTTAACTTTATGGAAAAACGAGTTTCTCACCGAAATCCCAGACATCCTTAACTTTCTTGGTTCGTCCATAAAATGTGACTGACATTTTCTCTACATTTCAATTTGAAATCAACTCAGGCTAACAACCAGTAGAAAAAACTACAGTTGAATTGAAGGTCATAGATCAGTTAAGCTTATAAAAGGACCAAACCAAATATTAAACCAATAGCCACGCATTTATGGACAATAACCGATAAGAATGTCGTCAACTGAACAAGTTGTAAAGAAAGTGTTGTGGATCAGTCAATTAGTGTTGATTATGTTATCTGGATAGACAGTGAAGTGTTCACGGTCGTCCTAATGAAAGAATACGGTAGTTCTGCAAATACATATACTTAGTAAATGAGAGAGTTTGACGTTATTTTTGTCGTGTTTAAAATGCGAACACTAAAAGTGAAGGGTAACATCATATGGAATCGTATAGCTTGCATTGTGATAAGAAGGCGATGAGGATAACAGTATTGAAACGTGAAATGTTTGGTGTAATAGACTACAGATTGAGTTATGTTTTGCGAGTTGACCATGCGTATTTTACAGACTTCAAATATGTCGTCTAAAATCAGACAAAACTATAAACTAACCGATCACTACATTATGGTCGATATCATTTAAGCCTACCCCATAATGATTATTGATTTTCATCGATCAAGTTGCAATCTGTTGATAAGATATGACATCCACACGCTGAATACTTCATTTAAAATATTACATAATTTGTCCTTCACATTCTGTAGGATTTTTATAACCCACAAGTCCCTTCCTTCTCCGTTCATTTGAATGCAATATCGAAGTGTGTTTTGTTTACAGCTTGTACAAGTAATAGTGTGGAATGCATTAAACGTGAAATTCCTTCACTATGAATTGCATTTAATTGCAAAATCCACTCTGAACACTAAATGTTGAAACGGATTTGAACCCAACATCTCTATGCTTTACAGACGAATATATCGGATTCATGATAATAGCTGTTGGATTGTTTGAGTGAAATTCACTTATCCATATGGCTACAATGCAACACTACATCATAACTGACACCGGTTTATCACGAAAACCCAAATACTATATCCTCAATTCTGACACTGATAGCACAATTCTAACCAATAACAATCGGTTGACTCTATAGAAACCTTATCGGTATTGATGTGGATCCCATTTATTGTCAGTGATTTTATTCGTGACAGCAGTTAATTCTTTTCTTCATACTTAAGGAAAGAGACTGAGTTTGATTCTTCATTGTCCTGACGAAGAACATATTTTATGTGTTTGTCTCAAACGGCTTTCCATATAAGTTTATCATATTAATCCTAAAAACAATGTTCTCTAGTCAAACTATATTTATCACCAAATTGATGAGAAGGTTGACACCATCAGTAGAGCTTATCTTCCGAACACAATTATAATGCACAATATACATATATATAAATATATTTGTTGAGACTTTGAGTAGTTTAGTAAATAGCTCTCTTCAGTATTATCCGGTGTATAAATTCTCATAAACTGTTTTACCTAGAAGTGGCTTGTTAACATAGACACTTAAAATGTCACTAATCAACCGGTGGTTGTCTCTAGGATATTGAAAATGTAGACTAAAAGTATTTCACTGTAACTAATCTCCTCATTCTACTAGCTCACTTTGTATGGTCTTTGGTTTATATTTCACTACTGCTCTTATCTTTCCACATCATCACCGTCCATATCTGTTTATAATGTTTGTGAGCTTAGGCAACATCGAGGCAATCCGTATAGGATTCATATATGCCAGTAAGTGACTGGTGACTTTTAATCGAATTCACCAATGGGAAGTTTCAAACAATCAATACAATAATGAATTACCTTATGGATGTGTAGTGACCTGCTTCTATCAAGAGAAGGCTATTGTTTTAATGAAAACGCTTATTATTATAACCAATCGTACCAGTGATTGTTTTACTGTGCTCGTTTGTTTAACGGTGCTAATGACAGCCATTACTCTCCCGTTGACTGAACTTGTACGAATTCGGTTACGCTTAGTAACCACGCTTGTACTCCTTTGGCACGATCTCGATATTCTTTCGATACCACGAGATCGCCAGCAAATACATCTCGACTACAGCCATCATCTGCCTTCTGATATTGACCTACGGGGATCTTATTGGTTAAATGGCACCTAGCCTTCTTGTAGTGGTGTTCATAGTCAATTGCGACTTGACTCTACACTACAGATGATTCAGTTATTGATAAGTCTTGCTAATTAGACGCTAGATCCATTTCGAATTAGACTGTGGAGATATGCATGACAAACTTCCTCCGTCGTGTTACACTTATAGCATGACACACGTTGTTATCTACTAACAAATAAACTACTATACACAAACACACACACCTCATGTTCTCCATTGCTCGTGATTGTGATAATGGATCTCTAAATCACTTACTGTCTACATCTATAGACTACAACCAAATTATATTATATTCTACGTTTGGTTATATCATTCGAAGGACAACAATTTTACTGGAACCATCAATCATTTATAATTGTGGTTTCTGATACCAAACTCAATCTGAGCACGCACACACAAACCTGCTGGATTAAGTAACGTCTCTAATTTTCATTGTGTTTATAACGTTTAACTGATATATATGTATATACATTACTGTTTGTAATCAATAACTCTGTTATTATTTTTGAGTTCATATATTGTTTGTTCCACTACAAAACAATCATTTGAGTAAAAATAGTGTTTATTTTTTCTTTTATGTATTGATCATGTAAAATATTTGCATTCGACCATACACATTGAATAATTTGCTTACATATCTGTGTACAGTACCGCAATATTTTCGTAAGATGCCTTTATTAAAGATCATCATAATGTTAATCCAGATTAGTTATCATCTAATAAATAACACATAAACCCATCGTTTATCCATTGATCAATCGATCGAAACAATCTCAATTTCATTATAGTTTGTTACTCTAAGTTAGTCATACTAATGTTTTCCTACATATCAACTAATCATTTAGTGATGAGATAAATTTCAAAGATCCAATATTCACTGGTCAGTTACCAGAGTATTACATTATTCCATATAAAATCCACAACAATGTGGATCTTCATAAATTTGATTTGTTCGCATGTGATCAATCATATTAGATTTGTACTTTTAAAATAGAAGAAAAAAAATATACAGAAATTGGTTCTTATTCAATTTTCAATTCAATTATTCTTTCCTCTTACTCTTCTTCTTCTTCCTATCACTTCATTTGAATACATTATTAGGATCAAATGATACTATGATATTTCTTTTGTGATCATTTACTCAAAATTCGATTGGTCGTCCAGTTTCAAGGTCACTCATTGAAGTGCTGTATTGTTTTGTTTAAAACTAAAATGAATTATTTGGAAGGTGTGAAATTTCTGTAATAACAGCTTAAATCGTAATCATTGATCATTATTTTAAAAACCAAATACCTATGATGAATCGTTGGTACATATTTGAATGTGAACGATTAAAACAACTACATTTACCATTGACACGTTTACAAGTACAACATTTTCATCAAATCAATCAAATGGAACAACAGGTTGATGTTAAAAAGAATAATCATTCAAAATATATTTGGAATACATGTCCTGTACATAATAGTGATAAACGAAATTCCATACAACCATTTACTACACTTACAATACCAATTGGATCTAAATGTAATTGTATGAATCATGATAATTTATGGTGTGAAAAACATAACAAATTACAACCAGTCAATTTATCCTGTTGGTATAAACCAGATTTTAATGTACCAACAGCTAGTCTACGTCAAAAAGCTTATGAAGATTATCAACAATATCGTTTACAAAACATGAATAGAACAACACGAACAATGGAAACAAAAAGATCGTTAAAGAGAATTGAACATTGAACAATCAAATAATAAAACCAAATGTTTATTTTCAACATTGTCATTATTCAAATTAGTGTTATTAATAATAGAATTTCATTAGCTCTATCAGTTATGGATTATTTGAATAGGGAAAGAATACTATTATAGTCATTATCCGATATATTGGTATGTCCATATACAGTTTGGATTAAATCATAACTAATTACTGTGTATTATCAGCTTTTAAGAATAGAATAAGTTTTGCAGCTAGTACCTGGTAGCAGAGAATTCTGTAATATATGTTTGACATTACTTAGGATTCATCAGTTAGATGGGTTTATGTATATGGTGGACAGAAAATTACATTAACTGAAAACTGACAACAAAGTTATTTTGTCCAAAAGTTAAAGTTATATTATATCAACTACAATTTATAAACACAAAGAACAGTTGTAGAACGTTGCATAAATCAATAGGCCTTAGCATATATGAGCTGGATTTGTTACCATAATGTACAATTATTGGTAACAAATTATTTCAATAAAGTTGTTGTATGTTCAATGTTATAGCCAGATGTAGTATATAATGGAAATATGGTTGTAGTTTATAAATGTAGATCATAGATATTATAGAGTTCAATTACCATAACAATAGGCAATTGAGACCGAGAAGTGTGTGTGTGTGTGTGTGTGTGAGTGTCCAGTATATTTATGAGCGGTTAACACCGTGTGTTGTACTATGAAGAAAAGAATGTTCAAGATCATGCACTTTAAAAATGACTTTTACAATCATTTGTGATAAATGTATAAGCTATGAGAATTAACAAAAGAAATGCAAATAATATCGTTAACTGTTTACAAAAATACATTTGTGGTGCTTATCTTAGGCTTAACTTAGGTGTTTTATGTCACTTGTTATAACAAATGAACTTGTCATTCACATTTTATATTCTTCCTTGTCCATTTCCTCTGTGTTCTATTCTTTGTACATGTGAGCCATGACTGACATTATATTTTTATCATTTTAATTGTTGTAAGGCATTTTAAATTCCACTCCATTTCAAAAATTCAACGTTGAAGTAATCCATCATTATTGAACTTTGAATTCCATGAAGAAGATTGTTTCTATATTACCTATATCAGTAATATTAACAAGAGATATCACACGGAAGTGTATATTCAGACTGTTGATCAATATTCGTTCAGTTGATTCAATATGGGAAAGAGAAAAATCACAATATAATTTAGTAGATTATAGTGGCTTTGCTTCTTTAACCAATCACATCGACAACCGTTATAATATAAATCACAAAGGTGTTTGAAATCAGAAAACAATGAGAAGTATCAGATCACTTAGCTACAAGTACATCGAGTGCATTTGAAGCGGAGAGGCAAATAAGTATATGCGAGCAATTATATAGGTAAAATTATAGTCAAATTTCATCAGGCATCATCTAGGCAAAGCAAGGACTAATAGTATGGTTTGAGTACATATATACGTTAGGAGGAAAATGAGTCAAAGACCGATATTCAAGCAATCAACACTTCAGCTAGAGTCTCTCATGTGATCTAGTGATCATAAAATGACAAAAAATATGAGAATTGTTACTATTCAAATAACATAGTTGTTAAGTAAGTTAATTAAAGGGCTTAACCAAAATTAACTATAATCGAAATTGGTTGTAAAATTGTTGGTATAAGATAAATAATTTGTCGACATTTCACTGATTGATCAAACCTTTGTATCATGACTGCAAAGTGTTCACTTAATCGAGAGTATATTATCACCCACACTATGGGCTAGAAAAAAAGGGACACGGGTTAGATACAATAGTAGTGATTGAGTATTCCAAATAACTTGATTCTATGAGAGGCCAGTCACAATCCAAACAACTACCTGATAATATCTGTGACACTGTGTGACATGTGTGTTCAGGAGACAAGATACTTTCCGGTAATGATAAGAGTATAATGTTTGACTTTATTTAGGCTTTATCAGTTGAACGAGTTGATGTATGTGGTGAACAGAAAATTACATTAACTCAAAACTGAAACAAATTTATTACGTCCAAAAGTTAACGTCATATCACATCAATTATGATTTGCATTGGCGTATTCGACCTGAATTTGTTATCATAATCTACCGTTATAGGTATTTCAAATTTCAATAAATGTTATAATTCCAGTGATAAATATGGCTGTAGTCTATAAAAATGTCGATAATAGATACTCTAAAGATCAGTTATCATAAAAACAAGCAATTGAGAATGAGAGAGGTGTATGTATGTTATAACTTGTGGCATGTATGCCCTGTTAATGGATAAGTAATGATACCCATCAATTAGGAAGCAGTGAAGTATCGATCGGGTCAAGGACGCGTCAAACACGTGCGAGCAGACTAGAGTACTGATTGGTACTGCTTTCCGCCTAGCCTAGCCAGTTGAGTCCAGGACATCAATCTCAGCCTATGTAATATGAATCATCTATTTCTAACATACTCGGTTTATTTACCAATCAAGCAGACCAAAACGTACCATAAGTTAGGAAACAACATTTGTACAAGATTCGGCCAAAAGTGGCTGTGAATAAGGAAGTCAATGACTAATTGACAGGGCATAACTCAAGAATGGAAAATCGTATAGTCACAATTCATAGGTTAAAATAAAGCTTATGATAAGAGGGAAATGATTATGAATAGTTTAGTTAATTAACAGTTATAAGATAAAAGTATACGTACCCACCAAGTGAAATCAAAAGACAAACGAGGAGGTTCGATGATATATTTGATAAGCTATCATTATATCGAGGATCGTCCGATCTAATCTGACTAGCGACTGCAGGGGTTGTTGAGCAGGGCGTTCCCACACGTGATCTGGTGCGGATGCATGACCGAGCGCCTTCAGTTAGGTGAGTCCATTAAAACTAATGTGGTTAGCATCCAATGTCGAAAACTTACAGAGCGATTTATTTTGGGGATTTATTTACCGCTACAAGCTGAATGTAAGTTTGTTCTCTCCAACAGTAGATTGTACCTAATGATCTCCGATCAACGGACATTGAGTATCTTTTGTGGAAAATTGTTTATAAATGCTTTTACATTTTTGATGAAGCTTGTAGTAGTTCTCCAGGTTTCAGCTACATACAGTAGAGCTGTCTTGACGTTCGTACTGAAGATTCTGACATTTTATTGGTTTACAGTAATTACGAGTTTGTAGGGCCGGTGAAATGTCACCGAACACTAGCCAAGTCATCCGGCAGTTACATCACTAAATATCGGACAGATCATCGATCCCTCTCAACTTCAAGGACAACCAACGCGCACCAGTTAATCATACGCCATCGACTGGCCCATAAGTCGGTGGTCTAACTTTCACTTGTATCTACTTTAACCAAAATATTTCTGTAATAACGTCCTTTGTGTTGTTCAGTCTTGAGAGCATCTATAGTAGTTTGATTCGTCGGTGGGGCAATCCATGTAAGGTGATGACCGGAGGTGCGACTTCGGCGTTAGCTAGTCCTTCACGCGATTCCTATCTAACTCTAGTAGACCCCCAATCATTCGACATAGATAATCCATGTTTTACGTGCGTAAGAACACAAAGCGGGCAAAAAAGGAAAATAAACTTTTTATAATATGGATTTTGTTTTTTTTAAAATAAAAATAAAAACATATAAGCATATTAAAATTTTTTTTGATTATATATAATACAATCGAGACGATATAAAATGTCAACTTGTATCTTACGTGAAGTAATCGTTAAAATGTTCTGGAAATCTTACTCTTCTTTCAGAATGCGTTGTTATAAGTTTATTTCTAAATGCTGCCGAAGTATCTTCGTGCGTGTTGGCTGTCGGTTGAGGTATTATAAATGTGTGAGTCGTGTCGTGCGATTGTACAGAAGGAGAATCGACGTGGATAGGATTTTCTACTAAATACGCTGCTTTGAGGCGATCGATACTGGTGCTATTGTTGCTACCGAGTGGAAGAGTGTCAGTCCACTGAGAAATGTTTGCGGCTGATAGTAACACTTTTCGTTGTCGGTGAAAGCGCCCTACTAACCCGTTTGCTTGTGAGTGGTAGGCCGTCGTTCAAATGCGAGTGATTTCTAATATTGTGGCCAAACAACGGGAAAGTTCAGATTCTAACTGGGGTCCACGATCTGTGGTGGTCGTTGATGGACAGCCAAAATTTGCTACCTATCGTTCAACGAAGACGCAGGCCACTGTTTCAGCAGTAATGTCCTTGATGGGTACTGGTTCTGGCCAACGAGTAAAACGGTCTACGCAGGTTAAAAGATAAGAATATCCATTTGAATCTGGTAAAGATCTTATCAAATCCAAATGAACATGGTCGAAGCGAGCATTGGGGGTTCTAAATGAACCTAACGGACATTTGTTGTGTCTAATAACCTAAGATTTCTGTCAGCTTACACAGAAGCATGCCCACTCCCTCACGTCTTTATTCATACCAGGCCAGCAAAACAGTTCTGCTATGAGCTTGATGGTTGCAAGAACACCTGGATGAGAAAGCTTGTGCAACGTAATAAAGACGTTGCAGTTTAAGTGTTGTTGAGGGCAACTTGTGCTGAAGATCAGTGTCTTCTTTTTGAAGCTGGACGAGTTTTAGAAGGTCGATTCCCTGGAATCTGTTCGTGGAAGTTATTCGAGACAAGCGGTCTGCGATTAAATTGTTTGTTTCAGAAATGTGTTGAATGTCTGAAGTAATCTGCGAAAGGTAGTCCAGTTTTTGAGACTCACGAGGTGAGTACTTGTCTGAAGAAAAGCTTAAAGGGAAAGTAAGAGGTTTATGATCAGCAAAATGGCTGAATTCGCGGCCTTCGATATGGTGTTAAAAATGCCGTACAGCACAATACGTAGCTTGAATTTCCCTACCGAAAGTGCAGTACTTCGATCCAGTGTCTAGCAACCGTCTAGAGAAGAATGCCAAAGGTTGCCAGGAGTGGTTAACCCATTGTTGTAGGACTCCTCTGATTGCTGAGTCGGATGCGTCTACTGCGATATCAATTGGCGCTTCATTGTCCTGATGAGCGATCATTGTTGCTTGAGCGATAAGTTCCTTAATTGTGGGTAATGCATTTTGCGCGGTGTCATCCAGTTTGATGGATTTCGCATTTCCACGAAGTTGGTCAGTGAGAGGTTTCATAAGTTACGCGCATTTCGGCATGAATTGTCTATAGAAACTCACAAAGCCGTTAAACGTGTGTAAATGCTTCATGGTGGTCGGTTCTG